CCCCAAAACCCCAAAACCCCAAAACCCCAAAACCCCTTTAAATATTAACTGATTGAAAAGGAAGTTTAGAATTTTGAATGCTTAATTCTGATATTTTTGTCAGTCCCTGAGATAGTCTTTTTATACTTCCTGCTTTTGGACACTCAAGAAGGAACTTTTAGAATCGTTCAAGGCGGAGCCTTGGAAAATTCTATGGCATGCTGAGTTGAATGGAGGTTTATACGAGCGTGACTCGGTACAGGAGTTTTACAACCTAGAGTTTATACGATATAATAATACCATCGTAAAGTTTTTGAATGTTGTTTATTGGATTTGACCGATCAAGCGAACTGAATTTCTCACGAGTATGGCATTGTGAGCTTCTTTTCGTCTTGAAATTAAAGCTCTCTTCTGACTCTCTCACTTTTAGTTTACTGTCAACTATTGATTGATTAATAAAAAGGGATCTAAAAGAGTTATCAGCATTTTCTTTTGGTTTTGGATAATTTTTCTGAGTGGTGTATCCTCGTGCAAATTTTGCAAGTTTTGATTTTACTCTCTCATCTAGCTTGAAATAAGTAGAGCCCTGAGCCTCTTTCTTAGGATATCAGAAGGATGAGATGTCAAAATCATTGTTCTGATTCCCTTGATTGATAATTTCTGTGTTTTTGCTTGGGATTATTGATTCGGTTTCAAAAGGATATGGAGCTTTTTCTAATTCTTTACGTAATAAATTTTCACTCTCCTGGTCAGGAGTCTTTAAATTTATCCATTTTAATAAAGAGTTCGCCTGTTTAAAGAGAAAGTCGCATCTTTTGTGAATCAAGTGATCACTCCTAGGAGGATCAGGTAATAGGTTATTTTAAGCATTCTACAGTGAGAATCACTGATAACTCTAGTTGCTTGAATAAAAGATTCAGAGCAACAATGTTTTCATTCGTAACAATCTTGTCTGACTTGGTAGCCTCAAGATTTTTCAAGTCTTCCTTTTGCGCTTTTAGCTTGAGTCAGGAATTTAGTTCCTCTCTATCTATAAAGCTTCTCTTTATCTGATGGATGACTCTATTTTCCACACTTATAGCAATTTTCCCAATATTTGTAGAAAAATTAGTTTGAATTTTTTCAGTGACATCCTGCAGCTCTTGAATTTTGAGTTTTAAATCAAGCTCTTTGTTTCTTATAACATCTTCAACCCTTTCAACCGCTTGGCCAAGTTTTGAAAGTGTGGTATACTGTTCCAACTGAGAATATATCTCTTGAATGGCAAATTTAGGTGCTTTTTCGAGGAGAACTTCATCAAATCTCTGAAGTATCTCCTTATTCTTACTTAACTCCTCCCCAAACTCTTGTACACAGGTCTCACAAGTGTTGATCCTGGGTTCCATTTCAGCTCTGAAGTTGATAATATGGTCATAACTGCAGAACTTATCAAAATGCTTCCACACTTCTTTGACCTTATTTGTTCATATCAGTGATTGTAGGGTAGTTAGCCAATTTCTGGTGAAAATACAGCACCTTTTCCTTAAGCTCTTTGAAATTCCTGTTATTTCTCCTGACTCTTGATGTAAGCTTTCAGCTTGGCGTTCTGCACCTGTATTTCGTACTTAAGGTCTTCCTTTGTGGCTAATTTCTGAATAACACATGCTATATCTGACTTGAGCTGGTCCAGATCAGCACGAGATCCTTCTATAGTAGCTTTAGTTGTGAGATCTTGGTCTATGTGGTCGACTTTTTGTTGGAGTTCAGCTACCTTTTTGTCTTCAGCGTAGTTCTTCAGTTTGTTTTCGAGGGAAATGAATTTAGAGATAGGAGTATAAGTGATGAACTTATCTTCAATCCTCTCGGTCTCTCTTTGTTCAGCTTTATGAGATAGTTTGTTTTTGAGGGTGTCAAGTTCGAACTCGAGGTTTTTCTGGCGGTTCTCGAGCATGGTTATTTGGATTGAGTCAGTGTTTACCGTTGTGATCAAGCGTTTCAGGTTGAATTCCAGCTCAGTGAATTTTTGAAGGGTTACTGTCTCTTCAAGCCCCTCTTCCAACTCCTCCTTCTTTACTCACGTTTCACTTACCAATCTCACAATCACGTCAAGTGCTGTTTCCTCTGCTATCCTACGCTCATTACCACCCCTAACCTACCTCTTCTCCAAAATTTGACTCATAACACCTTTCAGGCTTTCCTCTTGACTTCCAGTCAAGTCTGAGAAGCCTCTAGATGACATGATCTGGGCGCTAGCTGGTCTTTTCAGTCAATTTTGAGACTTTTGATTTCTATAAAGAATATGAAAGAGATTTTAAGAGACAAGCCTACTTGGTGACCTTTGTAGGAGCAGTAGTAGGGAGCTGACTTGTGCCTTCCATAATGATTTTGAAAATGAAAATTATTTTATATAAGAAGTTTTATGAGGGGTTTTGGGGTTTTGGGGTTTTGGGG